CCCCAACAGCACTATGTAAGTACTTAGATGAGATCAGATGCGCTCAAAATGGTATGGACACAGATAACTATGTACACACTTAGATTGTGCATTTCTATATCTTTAGGAATATTTTATACAAGTATTCTCCTTAAAGTTGGTCCATAATTATTCTTGTTTTGAGACAGGGTTTTAGTAAACCCAGGCTGAGGGCCGGGGATTTAGCTCAGTGGGGTGCCGTGCTGGCCTTAGAAGTACAAGGTCCTGAGTTCAATCCCCAGTGCAGGGGGTGAGGGGTGGGGGACAGGCTAGGGAATCGAGCTTCACTCTCCGGAGAGCTAGGATTATAGTTATGCACCACCACAGCCATTATTTTTAAATAATGTAAAAATGGGAGCCAGGCTTGGTGTCACACACCTGTAATCCCAGCACTGGGAAGGCTGATGCAGAAGATGGCTGCCAAGTTTGAGGCCAGCCAGGGCTACTTAAGTGAGTTCAAGGCCAACTTGAACTATAAAGCAAGATCTTGTCTCAAGAAATCAAAAAAATAAAAAAGAAATGCATATTTCAAAAGTTACTAAATGAAATTTTCTTGAAACTTATAAAATGTCTAAATTATATGCTGAACTGTTTAGAATTATCAATTGCCGGGGATTTAGGTCAGTGGTTCTGCAGCCTGCCCTGCAAGTACAAAGTCCCTGAGTTTGATCCCCACTACCAAAAAAAGAATTATCAAAAACTATCGGGTGTGGTGGCACATACCTGTAATCCCAGCACTGGGGAGGCTGAGGCAGGAGGATTGCTATGAGTTGAGACCAGCCTGAGCTACATAGTGAGTTCCAGGTCAGTCTCAATTACATAGTGAGACCCTGTCTCAAAACAAACAAACAAACAAAAACTATCACTATGCAAAAGCAGTGAGGCCTGGTCAGTTAATGCAAACACAGCTACTCTCTGAAATAGATGCAGTGGAGATTCTTCACGAAGTATGAGGGACTGGGGATGCAGCTCAATGATGAGTGCTTGCCTGGGCCCTGGTTAGATCCCCCAGTACCTCAGGAAATAAGGTAAGTATTCGGATCATGAAATGTGTGTTGAACAATGACTGTAAATCTCATACATCAAGACTATATTTAATAATCACTGTTTTCCTTTGGTGTTTTTGACACAGGTTCTCAACTATGTAATGGAGGATGGCGTTGAACTTGTTATACAGCTAAGGATAGTCTCTAATTTGTGATCCTCCTGCCTCAGCCTCTGGAGGGCTGGGATTACAGGTATGTGCCATCATGCCTGACTTATAACCACTTTCTACTATAATATGACGCATACTCCATTTGTTTTTTTAAATGTGTCTAATGAAGCTAAAATGGCTCTCCACTGTCTAATATATCAGGCCTAAACTCTCTTTTAATGGGACAAATGAATAGTACCCAAATTTCTTCTAACAACCCTCTCTTTGGTATAGCATTAAACCAAGTGCTTTTCTTCTGAAACCTAAAAACAAGTCTCCGAAAATACCTGGCACTGTATTTCACAATACAGTAGTACTTGAGCTCAGCAGTCAAAAAGCAGATTTTTACCCTAAATAATAGCATACTTTCAGGCCAGAGAAGGAATCTAGCAAAAAATTTACCCGCTCCAATATTTTACCTGGTTCCAGTTATATTCCTAAATTACATTGCCTGAGGTGATATTCTCAGGCCTTACTACATAAAGAAAAGCTATCTTTGAGGAATCTCCACAAGTGAGAAAAAAAGCAACATGGAACATGTAGCAAAGAATCCCAAAATGTATTTACCAGCAAAAACTAAGCTACAGAAAAAATTCACTAAATCTCAGATACCATCCCTCAGATATAGTTCATATCTTAGCCATCTTAAACATTAAAATTTATATCAACTCCTTATCTATCCTTATACACAGCTAATTAATCTCCCAAAATTTCATAGTCCTGCTCAAGAAACCTACTTTCACTAAAAACAAAATTCAAAAATCCCGTTTCTAGAGTCAAGGCCTTCCCTTACTATTCTGTACACAAGCAGGGACCATTTTCCCACTGTTTACTAACCATTCAACACTATCTACACTTTCTGCCCTTCCTTCATCCCTCCTTCCTCAATAGGGAATGAATGCCCTTCTCCTTTCTACCACCTCTCTACTTATCATTAGCATCCAACTCATTATAATCCTATAAATCTTTCCCAGTCTGGAGAAAGAAATCAGAAATGTAATGATACTGACTTGTACTACATCTCCAATACAAAAGGTACCAGTCCCACGTGGTTTACTGGGCACCTCAAATGTGTCTACTCCAAGTTGAAATGTAAAGTGTAAAATAGAGCAACTTTCAAAACCTAACAATAATAAAGTATGCAAAAATATCCCATGACTTTTATACTGACTAGGTTAAATTGGATATATTATTAAAACTAATCTCACCTAGGCTGGGGGTGTAGCTCAGCGGGAGACTTTGCTTAGCACATGAGCCCCTGAGACCAAAACCCAGCACCAAAAGAAAAAAGAAAACAAAACAAAACAATAACAACAAAAAAGCCTGGGCAACTCAGCAAGACCCTGCCTCAAAATTTAAAAGGTTGGGGCAGGGATTTAGCTCAGTGGTTCCATTGCCTGCCTTGCAAGCACAAGGTCCTGAGTTCGATCCCTGGTACCAAAAAAAATTTAAAATGTTTTAAAAGGCCTAGGCATATTGTTCAAACTCCAGTAAAAAAATGGGGGGGGGTCCTTTTGCTTTTTTTTTTTACTTTTTAATATGGCTTCTTAAACGTTCTCTTGTCTTTTCTGGTGTTGAGGATTGAGACCAGCTAGGGCTTCTCACATGTTAGGCAGGTGCTCTACCACTGAGTTACATCCCTAGCCCCTCAGAGTGTTCCTATTGGACAGCACTGTTCTCTAGTAAAAGTGATTCTAAACATAGGCACTGTGAGGTGGTAAGACAATTTGATGACTAAGAACACAATGTCTTGAGTCACACTGCCTGCTTTAATTAAAATCTTTCCCAGGTGTAACACTGTAGACAAGTTAACATTTCTAATGCTTCGGTGTCTTCAAATTTAGAGTGGTATGAATAATAGGATTCAATGAGGACTAAAAGAGATAAGCTACATAAAACAGGTATCAAGTACAGTATTTGCATTACTTTTAATTAACAAAACGGGAAAAAGCACCAAGTCAAACTGACCCTCCAGCGTTTGTGTCTTTTAAGAATTTAAGAATACAGGGCATTTTGTTCTTGTTGTCTTAGTACAGAATCAGAGGAACTGAGACTAATGACTCCATAACAGGCTGGAGAAAATCCAAGAGTTCCTAAATGTGTTTTTGGACAGCTCCCTCTCTTATTAAATACAAAAAGTTAATTCGTAATGGAGCTATTATAAAGAACACCAGTAGCATGAAAATACATGAATTTAGAGTACGGAACTTTGCTGTCTTTTTAGGGAGATGTCACTATAACCAAATAAACGTCACTACTCGTTTGACAAAGGTTTATCATGCATGGGTCCGGGTCCTTTCATTACTTTTTGCCATCTTCTGTTTGCAAGACATTGTTTAAACCACACGTGGAATATACTTGCAGTAATAAAAATCCAAGTACGGTCTAACCCACCTCTTTTTCCTTAATAAAGTATCTAAAACTGGAGAAAACAGGCGACATCTCAATGAGAAGATATTTCTTCCTATGATTAAATGCCTATCTGAAAAAACAAATTTTAGGACTTTTCTGTCCCTATTAATCTAGTCAACTTCAAATATCTATATTACATTAACTACAATGTGCCTTTCCTTCCTCAACACTCAGGCAAATGGTTCTCATTTATGTACCCTTTTTCACCTATCAAAGGTGAAACTTTTTTGAGGTTAGGAGAAATACTGTATACCTAAGAAAATGTTTAAATTGTTCAAAGAAAAAAGTAAAGTAACCAAACAGAAGTTTGGGCAGTGATAACTCTCACCCATGATCTATTCACAGATCCTACATCACTTGTAATATGCAAGATAACTCCGAAAGTCCAGTTTAACACTCGGGATGAGATGACAGATCTTTCTTACTCTTCGAACAGCCACTTTCAAAGGCAGCTTCTACCATAGTTGCTTTGCAACTGCGTAAATCCTTCCCCATGACCGATGAGAATAATCTCAACGACCTCCGGGGCTCATGTTTTTCCTTAATTACTTAACGACCCGGCTTATTCGAGAGGGAAGGAAAGCGAGGGGTACTGCGCTCTTGACAACCCCACTCAAGGGCCCTCCTCCAGCCGCCACCGGGGCACCGCGGGGCCGCGGCCCCAGACGCCACTCCGCCGATACAGGACGTAAACACCGCCTTTCTCTCCCCTGTCTGCCCCCAACTTCCTTCTCCCGGCCTCGGACGTGCTGTGGCCCAGAGAATCAGGGAGGACACCACCTACCCTCGGAAGTGAGGCGCGAGAAGGGCTTAAGCAGTTCCGCGAAGCTCAGGTGGTTGAGACGAGTAAGCCGCTCGGCTTCGTCGCTGCACAGCGCGGCGACACAGGGAACGAAGGAGTCCGGGATGAGCTCCTGCACGGACTGTACACACTGGGCCATCGCCGCGGCAGTCAGTGGCGGCGCCCGCCCTCCGGCCCACCTTCAGAGGATCCCGCCGCTGCAGCAGCTACC